TATCAAAACAGGTCACAATGACCTTGCAAACTCATTTAATTTCACCTTCAGATATATTGATGACGTATTTGAATAACAGGAAATTAATTGACTGCATCTATCGCATAGATCCACAAGAACTTAAAATCCTAGATACAACAGACTCTTCTACATCAGCTGCTTATCTTCTTTTCCTACCATGATTTTCATGTAAGAAGTCGTCAACTGACCGACAAACTCATAACACAAGGGTTCAAAAGTTGCAGGTTGATGAAAATTATAAGACAGTTTTATGGTGCCATAGTGATTTCATTGAAAAATGTTCTATTCAATTGTGTGACATGAAGCTGGATGTATTTGATGCTTGTAAGTTTGCAAATTGGTTCCGTTGTTGCATATCTTGTTCTCACTTGAGAATGTGACATTACTTAATTGGATTGATCAAAGATTTTGTGTTGTGGACGTAGCAGAAGATGCTTACTCTTCTGCAACACCTGGTCTTATTCTCCTTGTACTTTTTCAGGAGTCTCTATGTAAATCTTTCATTTGTTCATATTTTGCCCTAGTTTTATAGAATTCGAGTTTGAATTGTGACTATGTTGCCATGTTGGTTTATATTCATTTTCATGATATAAATTATTGCTTTCATCTTTATCCTAAAACTATAATTATCTCTTATAGTTTCCATGAAAAACAGTTCTACATTACAGAATATTAACATAATAGTATTTCTAGGTAGGGACAATCATATGGTAGATGTTTGTCATAACGAAAAAAGGCGTGACATTCAATAAAACATGACTTCTTATAATAAAAACTGTCATTTTATAATATCACTCAACTGCAAGATACAAAGAATTCTGGCAAAGGTCAGATTGACAGACTCGACATTTCGAGAGTGTACTCAACCTATAAGACAGTTGTTATCGGCCTCGTGTTTCAAGGACAAACACACGGCAATACACTCTTGCCGACTCTGTTTTGAGCGACCGAAACTAGTATGCACCTATTCTTTCCAGCTTGAAACAAAGTGGAGTATTTCAGAAAACACAATTTCTCCAAAATAGTTGTTTATATTGGCAAAAAGAAGAAAACAAACCCGTATCAATGGACTCGGTGCCCTTGGTACGCTGATATCCATTTTCGCGGCCATCTTGGGGAAGTCACCCGGATGTGGTATGGTAAAATCTGAAGATGGTAGAAGGAAGAGGAAAAAAAATCCGGAACGTTTGATGTTGGTCATAAAGCAATGTCGATCATTTGCTTAACCCCTGTTATAAGATATCCAGCTTAGTAAACATTTTAAAAATTAGTTGTATATTGAAGTAAACTGTATTAGATATACTAAATTAGATTGAATAAATTAAATATCTTAAATGACAACTTGGCTTGCCCGGCAGATTGAGTGAACACTAATTTCAATAGATGACGCGTACGTTGCCTGTAATTTTCACCCGAAAGTGTCAATTAGAAATCTGCATAATTCTTCTTAAATAACCTCAATAAAACCGATGAATCAGTCTGAACGGCGGACCGTCGCTTAGTTTAAACAAGTAACTTGACTATCATCTGATTTTCCGGAGATTTTTCTTCATCTTTCTGAGAATATGTACTTTTCAATAAAGACGTATTATTGACGACAATCACAATCTTTCTCTCTTATTTTACACATTAAGAAAGTTGGCAGTTATGGGTGTTGATTTTTGCTTTTGACGTCAGAAATATTTCGCCATGCTGGACAGAAGACATAATAACTTATAATGACGTATAATAAATTGATGAGTTCACTAATAAGTGAAGAGAAAATACTTTTATGTATTCTTTTTCTTCTTTTGGTAATCTCTGCCATCACAAATATATACTGATGTGATGTAAAGAGAGGTGAACAAGGTGAATATATTCAAAGAGGGGCTTTTTGTTTATTTATTTTTTTTTCAAACTCAATCATTTCGAAATGCACTTATTCAAGAATGCCAGCGAAATCAGATAGTGAACAAATGTCGGGTATTTACGAAGGCCTATTAGTGTCACTTTGAAAAGCGAAAAAAAACCTTTTTTTCTCATTAAAAAACGTTAATTATCTGGTTATAACGAGTTAGTTATCTCGTTAAAACGCGTTAATTATCTCGTTAAAACGCGTTAATTATCTCGTTAAAACGCGTTAGTTTTCTCGTTAAAACGCGATGGTTATCTCGTTCAAACGCGTTAGTTATCTCGTTAAAACGCGATAATTATTTTTTGGTCCTGTCTTTAGGCTAGAAACTAGCTATTACATTTGAGAAGCAAACATATCAGTTAACAAGTTAATTTCTCCATCTTCTGACTCCCTTCATCCGATAGCTTCTTCACGAAAGAAATAAGCGAATTCATTCCGAAGCCTGACCGTAAACGTCACATCTCTCAGATAGATAACTGTATAAATAACGCATTTTATCTTGTTTTAACGAGATAACTAACGCGTTTTAACGAGATAACTAACGCGTTATAACGAGATAATTAACGCGTTTTAACGAGAAAAGAAGTTTTTTTTTTGTTTTTCAAAGTGACACTAATAGGCTTTCGTAGGTATTACATATTGTAAATTGTGGAATTAAATTTCTGTCCCACTTCCGTGAAACTAATATCACTTAATTATTTTTACATGATATCATTGTGTATCACTAGATAGGCAGCGGATATTGGACGTATGTTAAACAGATCCGCTACACCAGAGCCAAATAGCTTAAAAATCTCACCATATTTTCAAATATCGCTACGTTGTTTGTTATTTTAAACATGAACACCCCTCGTTAGGATGGTTTTATAAGTTTATCTGAATTTAAAGTGAAACAGCACCATGTATGCAAATGAGTGTACACACACAGGCGACTTCATGAAACACCTATCATAAATACACCGAAGGGAGGATGAAGTCAAGCCTTCAACCGTTACTATGTCAAAACTTGACAAACTAATTAAATATGAAACTGCATTTCATCCGATATTTCCGGTCTAGGCTTGGTCGGGAACTACGTATTATAAAAGTAATGAAAAGGGACTGGAAAGTTTAGTTTTAATTTACAGGTAATTGGAACATCGAGAAATGTTGATTTACTTATTATCTTTTCATTTTCTATTTAAGTTTTTATCATTGCAGTAAAATGTTTTAATCAACTTGTATATCTTTCATCAAATGAAATGTGATTAGCCAGCAATTATTTAATCCCACGATGAGACTTTGTAACGACTATACATAATTCATAAAAAATGTTAAACACATATTGAAGGCGTCATCTTTCACTGTAATAAAAAATTATCTGTCTTTGAAATAATTAAAAGTAGATGAAAATGAGGGAAAATTAAGACCATTCGATGCGGGGTCTTGTCTATTTTGTACCAAAACTCTAACAATTTGGTTCCAATCGTTTGTGCAACTCTCTCAGAATCAACATCCTGTCAGATGTACCACCATCTACAACAACAACGAAAAAAGAAATGTCTGCACAGCAATCTTGGACCATCATCTCAGGTAACTAATGCAGTACTGCTGAAAAGCCATCTTGGTTCTTCAGATACCATCTTGAGAGCTTTTCTTTCCAATAAAAGGGAACGGCATTACGTATGTATTATTGTGAACTATACTGAAGCGTATTTCATGAAAAATATGTCCAAATCAAACATGAAATATACGGAGAACGAAATCATAAAAATGATCACGTTTCTGGTTGACAACATCTTCATCGAGTTCGGTGGTAAGCTCTTCCAGCAGATTATTGACATACCTTTGGGAACAAACGGTGTCCCTCAGTTCGGCGATTTGTTTCCATACAAAGCTGAATTTATCGAAGAGCTTGTCCTTCCAATATCTAGAAAATTATTGACCTCGTTCATCGTATATACTCACCAGAATTGGAAATGAAAAAAAAAAAAAAAACACGACAGACTCTTTCTACATCAGCCGCTTATCTCGATCATTTCCCACATCGAAACCAACACGGAAACCTTTTCAACAAGCTGTATGATAAGCGTGATGAATCCAAGTTTCCTAACGTATTTTTTTCATTTCTGGATAGCAACATCCCTACATCCACAACCCATAGTGCTAACTTGTAACAGATGATTTGATATTCAAGAGCATGTCCCCATTATGCAAGAAGTCGTCCACTGCCGGACAAACCCGTAACACGGCAATCCAAGAGATACAGGTTGATGACAATTACAGGGAAGATTTCTAGTCGCCATTGTGATTTCATTGAGAAATTTTCTATTCATGTGTGTGATCTGAAGCTGGACGTGTTTGATCCTCGTTAGTTTGCCTGTTTGTTCCGTTGTTGCATACCTTATTCTCATTTGAGAACGTGACATTATTTACTTGGACAGACAAAAAAACAAAAGATGCTTATTCTTTCGGAACACATGGTCTTACTCTCCTTGTACATTTTCAGATGTCTCCTTGTAATTTTTGTTGTTGTTCATATTTTGCCCTAGATTAGTTGAACTCGAATTCAGATTATGATAATGTTGACACGTTGGTATTTTTTAAAAGCGTAGAAAATCCACGTCATATGTTATGAAAACCACATTTCTTGTTATTCCAAAACAAGACGTGTATACTATTTTCTCCATAATTTAAATAATTATCTTGGCATTCTAACGTAAATAAGCAAATTGATTTAACAATGTTTCGTGTTAAATACTACATATAATGTAGAGTTATACCACAACAGAAAAACATGTCAAGCATTTATTTCTTTTACAAATATTACACAGTACTGTATATCGCAAAATCTAAACATGTTCTCAAAGCAAAAATATTGCCCTTGACACATGCGCGTAAAACAAACCATAACATGGTTATATACAAAATTACAATGTAATGTATCCCAGCGATTGACAATATTTTCCTTTAAAATCTTATTACATATCAAAATAATACGCATTACTGACGAACATTTTGTGTTTCTTTTCAAGTCAGTATCAGATCAGATATGAAAAATATAACGAATTGTACAGAAGTTTATACTTCACTACTGTAGTATATTTCATATAAATCCAAAGTTATTTAAAAGGGAATAAAGAAACGGCAGCATCATAAAGACTCCACTGTGTAGCGATGAACCTGTAACAGAAATAATATTTCATTTTCTATGTTGGTTATAATTACTTGATAGAGACGAATCGATAATGATTCTCTCTAGATAGATAAAATATCTCTAAAATTATCGAAGACATCCGCATAACACATGACACAGAACAAGTACTACATTTCTCACAACAGATAAAAATACTCACAGATGAATATCCTACCTTTAAACCGGTAGACAGTTGATAAGGAAGGCCACAACGATAAAGTAAATAAATGTGGATAAAAAGATGCGTAAAATAGATCATACATACAGTGTGTCAATATTTTTCCACAACGAATAATCGTAATATACCAACCATAAAAAATCTAAACAAGAAGTGTTATAAAATAAAAAAAAAAAAAAAACGTAACACGGAAGTCTGTGAAAATCAATTCAAAATAGAGAAAAGAAGGTTTCAGAATATTTCGGAGACAAAGGTTAATAGAACAAGGCCACAAAGAGATATGTTTTTACCCACACCAAGTGTACCATACTGAAGTTTGTCTTAACTTACAAGTATAAACCGAATGATCTGAGATTTATGGTGTGTATATTAGGTTGTGAAACCCCAAACAAACAACTCAACAAACTTTGTTTTGTGTATCTCGATGTTTCTTTGTCTTCCGGCCACTTAATTTACTCAACATTCCCCCTCCTCATTTTCCTTATTGGGTTATAAGGGTACCTATATGTTCGCTGATCAATTCCTTTTTCATAATGGAGGTGGTCAATATGTGAGATTAAACATCAGCCTATTATGTTTATCAAATGGAATAAGAGATCTCCATATGGACGAAAATGGGTACGCACATTAGCTGATCATCTTGCTTTATTCATCATCATCATCATCATCATCATCATCATCATCATCTATAATCGGTTCCTAGTAGTATTCAGCTACATGTATCTAGTATTCGGCTACATATATCTAATATTCAGCTACATGTAGCTAGAATTCAGCTATAGGTAGCTAGTATTTAGCTACATATATCTAGTATTCAGCTACATGTATCTAGTATTCAGCTACATATACCTACCATTCAGCTACATGTAGCTACTATTCAGCTATAGGTAGCGAGTATTTATCTATATGCAGCTAGTATTCAGCTACATGTATCTAGTATTCAGCTACATGTATCTAGTATTCAGTCATATGTAGCTAGAATTCAGCCATATGTAGCTAATATTTGACTATAGGTATCTAGCTTTCATTTGCATACATCTAGTATTCTGTTATAGGGATCTAGTAATCTGCTTTATGTATATTGTATTCAGCTATATGTAGATAGTTTTCAACGACATGATAACCACAATTACAGCTATTTTAACTCTTTATTAGACAAATGAAGCAGCAGTCATGAATACATGTTATCAAATACTTGGGAGAAAGATAATCGTGCAGTTCCGGATACTACGTAAATGTTCTAATTTACCTGCAGACGTATATTGGAGTCCTGCCGCCATTTTCTCACATAGATAGAATGCAACGTTGTTACAGTTGACGTCGTTGTATCTACCACTGTATAGCACCGTGCAGTAGTCTGTACCGCCGGAATTATCAGGTTCTCCGCCCCATGGACTGTAGTACAGGTATTAATGAGTATTAGCATTTCGAATGGGAAATAATGGTAATTGAAATCAAACAAAGGAACACGAATCACTGTGATGCCTCTAACAACTAATATCAAAATCAACATTTCTTATCTTGCCAGCCACATTTTGACGAGAGTGAAATGTCCTTGGCATACCATAAGGAGGGGATTTTCCTACCACAACTGCCTGGCGTAAAGGCAGCAAAAGAATGACCTTCACTCCCGTTACAGTGATACGTACATGACATTTTTCTTTACAGGGTTGTTGAAAGCCGTATCATATTCCCAGTATCCCTCCACCTTTCTGTCGTTCAGACCAGTCCACCACCCGGTGAGAGTCACGGACGTGTTCTTCAGTGCATTTGCAATAAATGCCTGTTGAGACATTTAGAGACATTATTTTTCGTGCCACATAAGAGGATAGATTGGTAAATGGTGACATTGAAGAGAACCAATAGCACCAGTTAAGCAATAAGTGTACAAAGTTGAAAACTGCAAAATTAAATGAAAAAATGAAACTACTGAAATCGATTGAAGTAGTCGTCTCTTTCTGTGGTCCAATCTTTGATATACAATGTTTATCGTGATCAAACTGAAAGAAGTTATTAATTAGCGTATATACGTAAAAAGTAAGTTCATGCATGTCACATAACTTAAACGTTTAAATAATTGCAATATTCATTTTTATTGAAGTGTATTTTCAGCAGTGGTAATAGTAAAAGTAACTTACAAAAAACTATAGGATTTGATTATTATGTATCTAAATCATACTAACCGCTTCATCTTTAGTATTGATAGCCAGGAGATAACCATCCAATGGCTCGCTTATTTGCGCACACTTGTCACGTGCTCCCTGCCACGTGGTCATGTCAGCGTCAGTGATATTACTTATTAAATAACACGTCAGCATATCGCCGGCTGTCCGTGTAATCCATCCATTCGGGCAAGGCTGGTCTAACACATACAAATGCATGGATCATTTAGTAAAGGACAAGACATGCAAAAGCATACTTATTTCCCCACAAGGGTAAAACAATGAGGAATACCAAGTACATTCACCCTGCAGTTATAGCAAGGCAAGGTTGAGACATACAAAACAGATGTAACTGCATCGATCATCCGAGACATACATATTATAGTTATCTACCTACCAGGACCAGACTCGTCTGAGACATACAGGATATAGTCATCTTCCTACCAGGACCAGACTCGTCTGAGACATACAGGATATAGTCATCTTCCTACCAGGACCAGACTCGTCTGAGACATACATATTATAGTTATCTACCTACCAGGACCAGACTCGTCTGAGACATACAGGATATAGTCATCTTCCTACCAGGACCAGACTCGTCTGAGACATACAGGATATAGTTATCTACCTACCAGGACCAGACTCGTCTGAGACATACAGGATATAGATATCTACCTACCAGGACCAGACTCGTCTGAGACATACAGGATATAGATATCTACCTACCAGGACCAGACTCGTCTGAGACATACAGGATATAGATATCTACCTACCAGGACCAGACTCGTTTGAGATCATACGAGATAAATAAAATAATTATCTTGATGTGACACGTTACATAAATTGTCTGTGAAAAGAAAACGAATTTGTTATTCTTTTTATCATATGATTAAGTTTGCAAACATTTGAACCTCACATCGACGGTCTCCATTAACACTGTAATGTTACAATTTAATCAGCGAGTGTATAATGTCCTGTTATTATCTACTGATAAAGTGCAATATTTGTGTCTTTTGTAAAACTGCTTTGTATTCCAGGTTATCATATTGTATAACAAACAGTTGTACCTTCAGTCTGAGCTTCACAAATAAATCCTTGATTGGCATAACATGATAAATCATTGAAGATTCCATCATTGGCGATCATACCACAGTCTTCGTTACCCATATTATTTGGCTCCTGGTTCCAGATGCTGTAACAGATATGGGAAGATATTTTCTGATTAAGTCACATTCCTGCTGAAATAGCATAGTTTAACATAATCAATCGCAACCATGGATGTCCTTGACCCATGCTTTAACTAGCAGATGGTAATCATTTATCTTTAAACTGTTTACTTCTGATTTCATATGAACAAATGGAGATTTTTAAACCCGTTCAGAAATCCGCAAAAGACAAACAAAAAGCTCTTTAAATCATACGTGGCTTTCAACAGAAACAACATGTCATCTGCAGGAGTAATTACAGCACACCTCTTATATAACAAACTTACACTAGACTCATATTAGCCTTGGTATCCATGTTCCAGATCCAGGTCCCTGAACTCGGTTGGTACATCAAACCGGTCCAGAATGCGTAGGAATCATAACGAAGAGTCTGTACACGGAGCCAATCCTACAGAAGGACAGACTTGTAATTATATAGGCATGAGAATGTATATTACTGTAGAAAATTAAGTCCACCTTAAAAGGAGGTTTACAGAACGTCGTTGACGTGAAATGATCTCAGACATCATCGAAAATCGAATTGATATTATCATTTAATGACACTAACTAAAAGTTACATATTAGTATTAAGTTGCATTCCAAGTTACGTGTTAACGATAAGACCACTGATAAATCGTGATATTTCCTGTAGGATAAAAATGTAATGGAAATGATTAACGCAATGATGATTTATCAAATCCTTTCATCGCGATCGTACATATGCACTGAAAATTAGATACAGCACCGCCAAAGGATTGAACTTCATTATACAGCAGGCCCTTCCTTGAGTATTTAGTGGTGTTTAAGGGTCTGGATTTTTGGAAGGGTTGTCCAAAAAATCACGAAAGTAATACCGCCTTTTAGTTCGTTGCGAGGAAGCCATCGATATTAATTATATGGTTAGGAAATGACGCTTGAGAGTTTCTTTATACCTCCTCATCTTTGGTCTCGATCTGGATGAGGCGACCTCCCATCTCTACACAGGTGGAGGCAGCTGTCATGTGATTCTGTGGTCGCTGGATGTGGAAGTAGTAACACTTGTGTCCTGCCCTCACCCAGCCGTTCGGACATCCCATTTTGTTTGTGTATTTGGAGTCGTCTGAATGATAGAATATAGAACCGGGGTAATGATTGATGAAATAGGAAAAAATGGTTAAAAACTGTTTATAGAAATAAATAATCATACCCATTTAACACAACTGCTGGCATTATCAAAACTAGATTTAACACACAAAATACAATGTATCATAAACGTCGATGATGTAGCATTATCACAATATGACTTACATGTACAGCAGCTTCCATAAACACATTCACCACGCATTCATAAGGAAGCCGACCCTAGAAGACCATAGCTGTTGATAGGGCGTTTCCAATATAAAACCAAAAGTATTGAACCAATTTCACGAAAGTAATATTGGGTTTGGATGATACACACCTATTCTGGGTGTTTGACATATATATTTCTCAAGTCTTGAGCAATCAGCGTCAGCGAATCTGCCATTGTCATAAATCAATGCGCACTGTTCTGTTCCTCCAAGATTATTTGGTTCCACTGTCCATTCACTGATAAATAAATTATATCAAAGATCATTTGTTGCCTCGACAACACATATACACAAAAACAGACATGTTTTCGCAGTACCGTAGTTTAGCACTATGCGCTTATTACAGGTTCTGTTGTTAAATTATGTAATTATTTCCGATATGCAAATTTGTTATTGCGTTAATTTGTCAAAATACTTATAAGGAGCACGAAATTTCAAACAAAACAATTAATACTCCATGTAAATAAAACCTATACGGTGACAGATCTATGTTTGTGATCAATTAATAGAAGAACATGTATGTCTACGTATGTACATGTTGCTCTGATTGACTGGTGAACCGTCGTCCCAGGTCCAGGTGCCCTCCTTTGCCTGATCAGTCATCCCAACCCAGTACAACTGGTCCGTCATCTGGATCTCGGCTAACTGTGCTCGGATGTAGGCCTAGATCGAATGCAACGATTTAAAATATATACATGCATCTTAGTTTTGTCCTCAATCCATAGCAATGTTCAAACTCATAAGTTATGAAACTAAAACATCCGATCACACGAAACAGACATCGTAATGTCATTTATCATTCTTTGTTTTTTTTTTTATTATTATTATTTATATTCAAATTTACTTATTAATTGTCAGAGGTCATTAAAAATAAAAACGATTTTTAAAAAGTATGAATAAATTTCCAAAACCTGCTCATTGGCAGTTTCCAGGCGCAGTAGGTTAGCGTTACTGCCCGGGTGTTGAGTTTTACAAATGTTTGAGGCGTCGCTCCAGGTAACGATGTTATACTCGTCTGTTAAATCACTGACGTAGTAACAATTTGTTGTCGTCACAATCCAGTGAAGTGGACAACCACTGCCTGGAGAGAAAAAAAACAATATTGTACCCAAATTCTTCGTTTTACACAACATACTGTAATCAACCAATTGGTAGACCATCTAGAAAAACATAGTTTAAATATATAATCGTCACACTAGCTATTGTGATGTAAGCTCGACATTTTCTCAAAGTAGTATCTTAATAAAAACATATCATTTGGTGTTAATGAGTGACACTCGTCACTATTAACTCACCTCTCGGGTTATATTCACATATATAGCCGTGCCTTTCGGAACACTTTTGATCACTGAGTGTGCCTTGTATGTTAAGGGCGCCACAATTTTCGATATGGTGACGGTCGTCCGGTTCAACGTTCCAAACCCTGACGACAAATATAAATATCACCATAGTAAAGAAATGGCTGACATCAAGTTTAGAGATATTGAAGTTAAAGAGGTCAACACATTGGAATGAATTGAGAGGAGCGACAGAGATACCACTGGGTACTTAACAAAGCTAACTCACACAGCAGTAGGATCGGCCAATGTTTCCGAGTCGTCTTTTCCCCAGGACCAACCTCCCGGGTGATTATAATCATTCAGATTAGTCCACCATCTCTCTGACGTCATGTTTGCAATAGACAGCGTGAACAATTTCTAATATATAGAAAATATACAGACTAAATAAAATATAAAATGATATTCGATACAGGATATGTGCCTTCCTGTCCTTCTAATTTAAAAGTAGTTTTTGTATCATTGAAGTAATTCTGAATTCAGGTTAACTTGGACTTCTCTGTTCTTATTTCATTCCGAAATGTCTACAGATTGTAATGTAAAGTTTACTATGTGCTAAACCGTAGTATTTCCCCTCACAGATCTAAAGTAGTACAAGTGCTGTGACTTTCTAAAACACCAAAAAGGGAATTTTTATAATGAATCCTGAGCAGATATTTTAAGGAAACAAAAATCTTTCATATTACCGGTCATTTCTACTCTGGTAACTTGTTTCTGTAGATGTCTGTAATGAGGACCTTCTTTTCCAAACATACATGTATATTTGTGGATAGTTTTCGGGCAAAAACAAATGTGTTCAGGATGGAATAAGGTGGAATTATCTTTATGTAGATACACGCGTTCATGTCAGTGGAACGATTTTTAACCAACAATTAATACATTAATGACAACTAACTAATCCTGCTCTCGGTTGATTGGTTTTTATTTCCAATAGTGATTAATTGGTGGAGTTTTAACAAGACCTTATTATAACCGGTATGGCAGAGACCTTTTTTTAAATCAGTCAGTGTAGAACATCTCTAGACAGTGTAGAAGGTATTAACCATAGCGTTCGTCTATATAGACCATTCCACACCTGTCGATTACCTGGATCTATGCTATTGACAGAAACAGGTAAAACGCTAATCTATCTTTTCTGCTCAACGTAAGGTCTTCTCTATTGAAATATAATCAAATGTTCAATGCCAGTTCTTTCTTTGAAGAAGTCACGCAGCACCAGTGATAGGTGGAGCATGCAGGCGTGTACCTAACTTCTAGTATATGACCGTGAATAACAACAATATATTCAATGTCAAAATAGTTATTATGTTTGTTGTAGCTCAAGATTTTCGCTTTGCTTGAATCTAATTTAATTTTTTTTTACATTTTTAAACAGCAAATGTACATTCTTCTTTTTACATTGCGATAGAATTGTGAGATATTTAAACATTGAACTGCTTTCAGCTGACATTCATACGCTATGAATTTCGACTGGATAAATGCGTATCCGTATGGAACGACTCTTTGAATTTCCCCTTATCCTGCTGGCAATGTAAACTAAAAGCAGTTCAAAGCTTACGTTATTGCTTCAAGTTTCATCATATCATGAGGGAAGACAATCTCATTTTGCTTCCATTACTTGAAATACTGCAATATCTCTACGCTCTTGGCAGTTCAAGAGCTGGCAATACATAACTGACTTTGGTAAGGTTACGTCGTAGCAATGTCATACAATTGTAAATACGTAAAGACTTATATCGTGTAACCTGTACGTCAGTTGGTAGAAATAAGTTCTAGATTTAATCATGCTTTCCTATTGGATCTCATCATCACAAACGACATGTTTTAAAAGTAAATGAATGACAGAAGATGACAATATAACTATTATTATTATGTTCCTTTGGTAAATCACATTTCTATAATCTAGACTCAACTTACCATTATCATACATGTGTTCTATGTTAAAATTTTGTCTTCAAATATCTCTACCAACTGTTATCATATATTCTAACAAGTTATTCGATTAGAAACAAACATTTTGATTACTTTTCAAGACCTTAAAATATACCAAGCAATTTCAATACCAAACTATCGTCTCAAAATAGACAGATTACCAACACCGATTGCCAGTACAATGACAGATAGAAATGTACTTGACATGATCGTTACCCTGTCGGCTGCTCCGTTAAACTGAAGCAGAGTGGCGCCAAATTGGCGACAGTCCGTTGTTGCCTGGTCCCACGTGAGTCCATCCGAACTGAAGAGGTAACAGTTACCTTGAATTTGAATCCAATTCCCCACCGGGCATTTGTATCCATTGGTGGCACCTGACATTAGAAAGTTAAAATGTACGAAACAAAGCTGTTCCTTTTTATTCAAATGATGAAGGACAGAAACGGAAGATCGATGGCATTGTAATAAAAACCCAATGTCAAAAAGAGAGGAAATATTTACAGCTTCTGCTTCATCTAAATAACGTATTGATCAATCAAAGAAATGAAAAATAACATTGAAGATATGTAATCATTTCCCAATGAGACAATAATGGTCACCAAAAAAGGGTACATTAATCTCCATGAACCTGTCATCTCTCAAAACCATCGAGCACATCCAACCATTACTCAATGAGACAATAATGGTGACCACAAATATTACGTAAATCTCCATCAATCTGCGCCCCCAGTCACAACTAATGTTGTTTTATAAAATTATGTCGCTAGCTGTCGACATATATTAGGAAATATCTATAGTTGAAACAAACCCTTAAATATAAAATGCAGTTTGAAAGAATATATTCTAATGTTAATCGAGGACAGTATCGGCCAAAGTTTAGCACATCAGTCATACGAAATGACAAAAGCTTAAGAAGCATGCAGGATTGCCAGAACATCGAAATAACAGCATAGGAAGACACCGATACAATAGGGAAGACAACATCGCAATTCTCAGATTTCACTAAAGCCGGAAATGAAACAGATTAATTGAATACGGTTAACGAATGGAAACTAATCTCGCCCACTCTGTCCAGGTCGACGCTTAAGAAAATTAGCTTTGGACTGTAAATATGCATGAAAACAGTCTATATCAAAATTATACATACTCAGCACAAGGTAGAATGCCAGAGAGACATACTTCATCCTCATCTCCGCGTGGGTATCCGCCATTAGGACTGTGATGTACTGTACCCAGCGTTTATCAGTGACTAAGCACAGCACTTAAAGTATCAGCACTCTTCTGTAGACCTTTCAAAATTATTGATATTGTAGCATAACTCATTGATATGAACAAAACTTAATCAGTGATGTTGGTGGCATATAAACAAATAAACATTTGGTTTATATGGAATGAAACTCTGGTGTTTAAGAGTTCCTGTAAGGAACTATTCACTATTGGAAGCTGACAATACTGAAAAGAGATTTTAGTTGAGCAGAACGATATGAGTGTTATCGTACAAGATCAGACGGGTACATCAAATACTACACAGGCTACTTTGTGACATAGTGTTCTAACTCCGTTTATCTAAAACAAGCATAAGTACGCCGTATATTAATACTTCAAATATTTATGTGTTATATTTTTATTTTATCATTGTTCGATAAAGAGGATCATATATGAATGTCGATGTAGACTTAATAAGGTATTTATTAAACGAATTCAATAATTTGAATAATGCACGAGCCTTTAGACGATTAACATATAAATGATTTCACGAGTCTGATGAAAACATTTGCGCGAATGTAAGATTCTATTCATTGCATTACCCGTATTTCTGAAAAATAAGCGAAAATTTCACAAATTTCTATGCGAGCGGTACGTTTTCACTACCGAGACAATTGCGTGACGTTATTGCACGTGTCTTTTTATGATTAAGACAAAGTGTATTGCATAACACAACATGCCAATAATGTGATAAAAAATATAATTTATCAGTCTGTATAGACTCTACATCAAACAAGTAAACACCTATTTTACTACGCTAGGCTTTTACAGAAATGTGTCACTAGCTAATATCATTATCCAATATTTCTATAATATGAAAAAGTGCAATATTAGGGATAGAAGACCACAAACATTTTCCAGGGTGACGTAGGATACCGTAAAGGCCGTGGCTAGACTGTCTTTTAAACACCAGGCAATTAGACAATTTGAGAACTGACCATAGTAATTAATAACTGTGTTATTCTACCTGTTAACCTCACCTTGGTGAAACACGAGGATCTCTATAAACATTTTGCTGTAATGGACACAATGGAATTGGTTTTTTTTCTGTGCGAATTGCGAAGAACAATTAACGAAATGGGTCGCCAGTGCCAGCTGAAGCATATGGTAAAGCGGCAATTAGTCATTAACAATGCGTTAATTTGTCATCAACCTTGCAATTGGTTTGGAGGCTCGTTGGCACTGAAGAGGAGTTCCAATTTTTATAGCATTGCATTCATTTTAGCTCTTTACAAAAATACACAAACATTTGACACAGAGAAATAGCATATATCCAGTAATACAGTTGTAGTCAGTATTACCAATGATATATCATACACAGACACGATGGTACCTGTCGCGCTTTCAGGCTATATCTCTGTAAGTTCATGAATGTTTTGGGGTTTTTTTTTTTAGTTTAGTGTACAAAACTAAATGTACAATGTATATCCAGAACTATTTAGTACTAGTTTTCTTTGAATATTCTAAGGTAGCGTCTTGCCGCTCAGTATTACAACTCCTGAAGATTTGCTTGCCTTATATAAATGATTTCTCTGGTACTTTTCATTTTTTTCAGAATCATGCCCATTCGTAAACTTTTCTACGATCACAAAAAGTTGCTTGTTGTCCTTTAAAATACATTAATGGCGGCCTTATCGCTAAAACGATTTATCGTTGTACAGGCTACGTTTAACAAAGCAAATGTCACATATTGATCATCAGTGTCAGGTATTGGAACATTAACGATCATTATATATTATCCGTGGCATCCAGTCTGAACTTTGAGATATATTTATTTAGACGTATTTGACCGATCCTTCATGAAGTATTTCAAATAATTTGTGAACGATAACATCAAACAGCGGATACCAATTCTATTCTTACAGTTGTATTGTATACCAATCTGGCGTATACGAAAATAGTCGAGAGAGAATGAAAAATAATTCGATACACATGAATGTATATTGATGCAGAAGTAGTATAATATGTTTATGTATAATGTTACAACGAACTGTTTGTAATACTGACTTAAACTGACTTACTAGATGATACATTATCGGAGATGCAATGTTACGTGTCAAAAATGCGTGTGTCTCTTAACGTCCATCAATAGTTTTAAAAAAACATCAGTGTTGAAAAAATATTAATTGGGAAACAGACATTCTAAATCCGAAACGGAATAATGTACATGTATTCTAAATGCCTTGAGAAATCGTCTATTTGTATTGGCCACCCAAATTACACTTGGTGCCTATCAAAAATCTGGTGCGTTGGACCCGCTGATTTGTCTCGGCTGTTGTCGCTACGTGTTTATTATTCGTGTCCTGTGCCGGAAATAGACAAACCTCGTTAAATCAATATGGCCGTTCGTGTAAGATCTGAAGAGTACTGGAGTGGACCTGTGGAGAAAGTGTGTTAGTCTACTGTTCTGATCTTTCGTGATGGACGAACCAATGGAGGCTGAGGCGGATTCAACACAGCCAGATTTGAATCCAGACGAGAAAGACGACCAATCGAACAAAACCCCACTTTTACGCCCTGGAAACATGGGTACGGTAAACAGTCTGTCAGATCAGCCAGAGTGATAGGAAACGATCGCATGAACGTTCACGCTTTCAGTTTATACTTTCAGAGTTCCATTGCTAAGAATTTCAATAAGAAAATCTACATATTGTACTGTCTTACTCTTATTTAATTTGATCGCTTCATCTGAAAGATTTTTTTTCCAAATTAAATTCACTATTATAAAGATATAAAACTGTAAAACGTTTCAAGAGAGCATGCTGAAAACGACGTATAAGCTTTCGGGCGGATTCAAAAGATAGCATCGTGCCATTCCAGTTTAAACGTGGAAAGTTGTGTTAATAGTGAAAGAGAAATTAAACTTTCCCAGTTTACAATTTTAGCATGAACAAAGAAACAATCACAACACTGAAAGAGTTGTATATTGGCCTCCTGAATCACGCTCAGCTGTTGCCAAGTTTTAGATCAATATAATATAAAATTACTGAATCACTGAACAACAGCGTTAAATTTGTACTTTTCAAGTTTTCAATTGTGTGTATTGTAATGATTTTCTAGGTGTACATTTTGTCAATATTGTTTGTAATTTTAAATAAGGCCAAATACAAGCAAAAAAATATATATATTTGTTTCCAATATCATATTGGGAGAATTTCGGGTTGTTATAGGTAGGCATTTTTGTTTTTATTTTGAAAAGTAATTTTATATCGTTCATATATGAAAAAGATCTTGACTTTGACAGAACATCTATGAGAATTGACTGAAAAAGTCGAGGGTAGAGTTATACTGGAAGCAGAAAATATTTTTTGTTTGGTCATAGATTTTTTTTCACTCATTTAGTGATCTTAATGGTAACATGACCTGATATGGATTAAACACTTGTTTTTGAATGACATAAGTATACTTCGTACGAAATACCAAACAACATAATTGTTTTATATATCCTCAAACTTTCAATGTTTTGGCATCTGACAAATATCCAGATATCAAGATAACCACAGATAAAAAAAACTGCTTTGAATGTTATATGACCTGATCTGAAAATAACAATACTGTTAAGTGTAATTGATTCAGAAAAAATTATCTACATATTTTTTAAATGAATAATGGAGGATGGTGTTTTTTATGTTGTAACACATTGAATTGTGTACTTTTTCTGATGTCCACATATCATTACTAGTTGATACATCGGAAAAAATCAAACATAAATACAATATATAAATGGTCTACTACACCTATATATACAGATGAATTATATTAGTAAAACTTCTGTTATTGTAGAAAAAATATTCATTAAATACATAATCAGGGGAGATAACTCTAAAGATGTTTCATCCCTGTTGTCATCTGCTTACTCATTTATATATATATATGTTATATGAAAACAGAAGTCTCAAAGATCTTTAAAGTGTTACGTTTTTGGCATTGTATTTAGCATGAAATACCTGTGAAATCACTCTAAATATTAAAGTGAAACAGCAGACTTTGTTTTTTTTTTTTTTTGCCTTTTGCTTTTTGTGTGATTAGATGTTAAATATCATACATTATTACAGTGATGATGACTATTACAACTGAAGATTATGAATCACTTTACTGGCCAAAGCTGGAAGGCGCAATCAACCAGCTACTGACCATGTCTCCCGGCCAATACATGGCTATCTCCTATGAGCAGATGTACAGGTAACTTTTACACTCTCTCTAAGTACAAACTGCAAACATATTAGAGGAGGCTCCATATTGGGACAAACAGATAGATCAGTAGTGACTTACGAGCAGGACAAACAGATTAATGTGAACTAGATTGTGGGGCAAACAGGTTCACAGTGTGCTAGATATTAGGATGAAAAGATTAGGTGTGAATAGAAAATGGGACTAAAGTTTTTAAATGAAAGGTTTCTAAGTCCAAAAACACATATCCCCCCCCCCCCCCCCCCCCCCTTATTTGTATATACAATCATCATTAGATATCAAAGAGTGATTTTACAGCAATTCAATACCATTCTTTTTTCTTTTCTGTTTTTTTTTTTTTTTTTTGCAAAAGTCTTATGTTTTAGATCTAGTATTTCACATCAGAACTCACTTAAATGTCTTTGGGATAAGTTTTTGGAAGGCTTTTAAGTCTATAATTATATACATATATGTTTTTTTGAATATCTGTTGTCAGAGATTTGGATAAAGATACATATAGATTAACAAGGTTGTAAGACATTTACTTATTCTACATTTATTCAGATCTAGCTGTAAAAAAATATGCATAGAAATCCTATGAACAGATATGCTTCAAATAATATCCAAATTAGATTCAATAGTCATGAATCAATATACATGATGATGATAAATAAACAGTACATAATTCCATAGACATCCTACATTTTAAGTTACATCAAAATCTCTTATCACCAGTTTAAACATCTTTGATGAGATACAGATAAATTTTTTGCTTCTGTTTTAATTACTATTTACAGCTGTGTGTACAAATGTGTATGTAAGCAGTTTTCTGATCGCCTCTACACTGACCTGATGAACCATATGATACAGCACCTTAAAAATCTCAACCAGCAACTGCAGTCTAGTGTGAGTACAGCATTAAATATACTTTGGATACTAGAATAATGGTTACAAAAACTTCTAGTAAGAAACAGTATTAGAGTAATCATTGATGTTGGTATAGCATAAATAATTTTGATTTTTTTTACTTTTTGTTACAGATGCATGTGGAAAATTCGAAATCTTTCTTGGAGAAGTTTTCCTTTTTGGTTAATCAGTATATCTTAGCTCTGGGTGGTATTGTACCAATCTTTAACTATATGGTAAGTTTGGAAGCCTTATTGTATGTGATATTTAAAAAATTCCAGTAGCAACCCTTTTGTCAGTCACAATACCTGTCAGATGTTTTTGAGTTTACAATTAATGACACCAGAACTGTGATTGGCAGGAGATGTCTTTTTTGTGATACTTCATTGCATTGCAGACTTCAAGTTTCAGTCATGTTAAGATTGAATTCTTTCAAATTAAACAGAAAATGATGACTTTTATTGTTAAGTTTAGATGAGATTGAAAGTTTACATTTGCTTAAGGTGTATACAAAAATTCTTCATATTTCATGTCTATTTTTTTTCAGAATCGTTTTTACGTAGAAACTAAATTGAAGACTGATCTTAATGAAGAGCTGAAGAAACTGTTTAAACTACATATATTAGACCATCATATTAGTGTTTTGTTGAGTAAGTTATTGGATTCTAAACACAAGCCTGTAATAAAATATCATTGCCTTTTTATAATAAACCTATAGAATTGTATCTTTAACACACCATGTATTTGTACACGACATGCTGATTCTGCATTTGTTAGTGTGATGTTTGTATTAGTGATCAATAGATTTGATCGTTCACTCAGCTGAATTAGATTATTGGATATTTCATAGTTTTGTATTTTCAATGTATAGTTAGAACAGTGCTTTTGTTTGTAACATCGTTTAATATTTCTGCTTGTAATACAACTTTTTTCAGAACCATTGTATCACAGTTTAATGTGAAATGTCACACTCTAACAATACTGTAAAAGATAATACAGCAATCACCTTGCTTCACATATTCATTGAAATGAAAATTGAACTTCAATTTGTCCCCTGTGTTCTGAAAATCCATTTTCTCATTCTGACCTTAAAGACTTTGAGGTGGATTGGTTTTCATTCATTCAGTGAAATGTTTCAATTATGATTGATACTTACAATATTTTTTTTTCTTTTACAGCATTATTAGAAGAAGCAAATGCAAAGCCTTTCACAATTTCACCTCCTGTGATGGCCAACACTATCAAAAATATTCACTCCATTAACCCAGGTAGGACTTTATTATATGTGTACAGTGATACAGGATCGGAAATACACTGGGCTATTTGTGACTTGTTATTTACTGGGGTCTGTATAGATAGACTGAAATACACAGGAAATATTTATACTGTGAAAAACCTCAGAAAATGTCTATTCTTTGTATACATGGATATCAATAGAAAGAGTAGTGCAAAATTAAATCAGTATGATTTAGCACCAACCCAAGGTAATGCAAAGTTTTAGTTCTGTGTAATTAAAGATCAATACAGTAAATTATTCCTCCTGATATCCTCACTAGTACATGCACTTCTATAAGCTCCTGTAGGATTGATGAAAATTGTGAAGCCAGCTATTTCATCAGGATGATTATTAGAAGAAACTAATAGGACTCTGTTATACCCAATTTTATAAAGAAAAAATCCTATTGTGACAAATAGATCTGATAAAGTAATTGTATTACATCAATTTTTGTCAGAGCTGATTCCGTCTGATTCTTTATCAATGTACTAATTCTATCTGTTTTCTTTCTTCAACAAATATTTGATCAAACTATTCCAAAAGATTCATGTAAACATCTGAAATGGAACATTTAATGTCACAATGTACAGAATATTGTCAAACAAATTCTTTCTTTTTAAATCCTTCACATGATCTCTCTGCATTACAATAAAATGTTTTTGCTCCATTTTCTTTTATCAGAATATGCCAAGATGAAACCTGAGTTGTTTGCAAAATTCATTCCAAGTATACTTCCCCAGACTTCTGTGACTGATTTGGACCGCTACATTGAGGAGGCCCAACAAATACAGAGAGAATTAAAAGTCCTTCCAGATTTTGATAGGTATCTATAACTGATGTGATTACAATCAAATCTTTCGCTTCTCTGTTATACACTGTTGATAAAGATCTGATGACCTTTACTGACATCACAGTACATAGTGCTGTGTACTGATGACCTTTCACTGACATCACAGTACATATTGTTGTGTACTGATGACCTATACTGACATCACAGTACATAGTGCTGTGTACTGATGACCTTTACTGACATCACAGTACATAGTGCTGTGTACTGATGACCTATTACTGACATCACAGTACATATTGTTGTGTACTGATGACCTTTTACTGACATCACAGTACATAGTGCTGTGTACTGATGACCTTTACTGACACCACAGTACATATTGTTGTGTACTGATGACCTATTACTGACATCACAGTACATAGTGCTGTGTACTGATGACCTATTACTGACATCAAGTACATATTGTTGTGTACTGATGACCTATAACTGACATCACAGTACGTATTGTTGTGTACTGATAACCTTTTACTGACACCATAGTACATAGTGCTGTGTACTGATGACAAATTTTCATGTGACCCATTTTTTTCCCATATCAATGCAATATCCTACACAGGTGCTTGATATTTTAATTCTTAAGCCAGCATGAACCAGGAGACATAAAATCCAGAAAATGAAGACCGTTGTAAGAGAGGACTACCACATTTGTTTTGATATGATAAAAAGCCATGTCACATGATTCATATGTCTTTTTGTAGTCTTTAGTGAAGGCTTAATTTTCAAATAAATTACCTATAGGTATGGTGATAAATGCAAGGTGAGCATATTAGTTTAAGGAAACAAAACATTTAATTTTTTAGTTAGGATTTAGGTTAACATGTACAGCGTTTAAATTAATATAGCTAAACTATGTCACTTTCTGTATTTTGAACTAAATGCTTTTATGCTGACATATTGATCTTTTCAAAAAAGAAAAAAGATGAGGAAGATACAAATTGAAATTAAGACAACTTTGTTTATCGAAGTAAAGGAATTTAGTAAAAGTACTGAACAATACTTATATTATCAGTTCTGTAACGTTCTCCTAATTTTACGTTTTTAGCTGTCCTACACGGAAGAAACGTACAAATGATGATGATGGTAGATTTACCAAATAGTATGGAGTAAGGATGAAAAGCACTTGTGATATGACTGTGGTAAGTTATGTCAGTAAAAATCTGAAAATTTTCATCATTCTTAGTAGAAATAACATCAACAGAACACTCTACTCAATAACATTAAGCCTTTTACAAAATTTTCAACATGTGTAATTTTGTAAGTCAGTTAAAAAATCTAAGATATGGTCAATGGAATCTTTACCTTTTTGAAAAGAAAGGTATGAAAGTTTAATCAATTCTGTGAAAAAAATACGTTTTAATCTTCTACACTTTCATCTGTTGACTTATCTGCTTCAGAGTGTCATCTCCCATGTAGAGACCAGTAAAATGTGTTATGTGATTTATTTCCATTTTCTAGAGAGGTGATAACTGATTGGTGCAACAAGGGAATGAGTGACCGACTACTGAGGCATGAGTGTGAGACTGAGAGGGACTATCTGGCCAATACCGGTTGTGAGAATTATGTTGGATTGTGTCCGGGCCCATGTGTGACAGATGGTACAGATAGACAATGGGATTTCAATAGTCTACAGTTTAACAACTGTATTATGAATTGTTGTTCTGCTAAAGATTGGTGAATTGTGAGGATCAGAGAAAATCACCATACTTCAGTTATTGGAGCTGTGATTTTTATCTATCGATGAAGGAGGACTTTTTCCTACTCTGATAAAACAGGACAAATAACAGTTTCAGATTTACTTGACTTTTATGTTGAATTTCATTTTGAATGGAATGAAACTACACTAAGTGGAAAATATCTTTAACATTACTTTTACTCAAAACTGCTGTCTTTTGATTTATTGGATCATAAATGTATGGTGTTAACATGACAGACTATGGCTTAAGTCAGGACACAGACCATGATGTGGAATATTCGCTTTTTAGATATTTGTATTTGGTACATAATTATTTTTCTGATTTTGTTTTAAGAATTTCAGAACATAAGAGATTTAGTTAAAATAAGTTGAAATTATTTGAAAATGACAATAAAAACATTTGACAGAGGAAACCAACACGTATAGTCATCATTCAAGGTATGGTATTAAACTGGTCACATGTAAAAAGATCATCTGGCTGTAACTGTCTCTCAGAAAAGTTTATGGAATAATCTGAAAAGTAACATTTCTAGCAAAAATATGTATTCTACTTGTATAAAAATGATAGGAAGCGATTGGTTGTACTATTACAGATATAATTCCTGGTATACGGTTCTTTGCTTTTTTGTTCTAAAGAACAACAGAAGCCATGCTAAGGATTCTTGTCTTTGAAAAAAAAATGTACATGAATTTTATATGAACATTTGATGTGTGCTAGCAATCTCTGTGTATGGAAAAATATCACCATAAGGAATTGAGTAGCATTTGACACGGTTAAACCTTGGATTATGTTAGCATGGTTTTTATGTGAATTGGTAATATATGGGGATTAAACTTTGGATCATGATATGCTGATCTGTTATTCTAGATAGAAAAAACCTTTTGTTGATACCCTGAATGTTCAACAAGTCCTCTTATCATAACACAAATGATGTTTCATTGTTTTGAAAGTTATTTTGATGTCATCCTGCTTTCTGTTTATTCTTTCACAATTGTATAATGTTCCTTTAATCTATGATAACTTTCATTTCCTGTAACTAAGGAATTTATAAATCAAGATATGAAGTGAACAATGGGCATTGAATAACTAGCAGGGTATGGTCAGTATGTGAAGTGTATCTTAAAGAATTAAACAAACATTTTGAAGCTTTATACTGGAAACATACATATTGTGCCGATAATCTCATTTCACAGCTTTCTGTGCTGAAAGAATTACACTAAAATATGATTGTGCTAGCTAAAGTTTCTCTGTGTTGTTTATATAACAAATGATTAGTCAAATAGTTACAATTTGTTGTCTTTCTTAGTTAAACCACATATTTTGTATTTCTTCATTTGAAATATACAAAGTTAATCAAATTTGTATTTACTGTTTTAATCACTTAGTAACAGAAAATGTAAACAATCCAAAAATAGACTTGGTGGAAATTATTATGGGTCTATGTTGTATGTAGTAAAGGTCTGTCTGGTGTAAACAATCTGTTATACCAAGGGGTGAGTATTGATTGACATTTCCAGTTCCATACTTAAGATAAAATGCTGAAAGTAGGTTCTTTCAATGGTATCATAACAGTAATAGTGATTTTACTAGTGTCCCATTCTGTTTACATCAAACTGTTTGTCTGGGAGTCTATTACTTGGATGATCATCAGTCCACTGTAGGAATAATAACCTGTGTAATCTGTAATTTCTGTCAGTTATTTGTGTCTCACGTATATGGTTATCAGTGTCTCTTTAATTGACCGTGTCTGAAGACTTTGAAAATTTTACTGATAGTTGTAATGTAATCCTCTACTTTGCCAAATGTGTATTACCAGATAATTTGCAATTTAGGACTTCTGTAATGTCTCAGGTACATACCAGGGGTATGTACTTTCACCTTTTTCTCTAACTGATTATAAAGACTTTTAATTACAATCTACTGTGAAAATTCAAATTCAGTTAGAGCCAAACTAACACAAACTATTTACCTGTAATCAAAACTTAACTGATATAAATTCATCAAGAAAAAGATTTGGTATTAAGTAGAAATTTTAGACCTTCATGAAACCCAATGATGTAATAGGTTCACATGTGGAGATACTGATGACAGATCCCTTGTAACATAGCTTCCACAATAATGTCCAGCCATAAACTGGTCAGCGAACAGTGGCCTCAAATGTGTAACCTACATTCTGCTTCTAAAATTGTCTTCCATTAGAATGAATATGTACTGATATACTGTGTATAAAGACTACCATGTACCTTACCAGGTGTAAGGAGTTATTTTTAACTTTTTTTTTTAAACTTTGGGAATTACAACTGTTGTAACAATTTACTCTTTGTAGGATACAGATTACAACCAGAAACATCTGAAATACTGTTATTCTATCTGAAATATGTAAGAACTTAGTCTGAAAGTTATTATTAAGTTGTATACATATTAAGCATAATTGATTGTGAATGTGAACATGACAATAACAATGATAATAATGCTATTTATTGTTTATTATTAATTTTCTGGATTTAGGGATCCTCACACTGAAGCAGTAAAGGGCTAACCATTGTGGGAGGTAAATGTTCTTCAAAGACATGCTCATGGGTTCAATACAACAAATAAACATCCCCTGCAGACAATCTAGGGTCATAGATGCTGGAAATTAACATTCCCCATGGACAATCTAGGGTCATAGATGCTGGAAATTAACATTCCCCATGGACAATCTAGGGTCATAGATTCTGGAAATTAACATTCCCCATGGACAATCTAGGGTCATAGATGCTGGAAATTAACACTCCCCATGGACAATCTAGGGTCATAGATGCTGGAAATTAACATTCCCCATGGACAATCTAGGGTCATAGATGCTGGAAATTAACATTCCCCATGGACAATCTAGGGTCATAGATTCTGGAAATTAACATTTCCCATGGACAATCTAGGGTCATAGATGCTGGAAATTAACATTCCCCATGGACAATCTAGGGTCATAGATGCTGGAAATTAACACTCCCCATGGACAATCTAGGGTCATAGATGCTGGAAATTAACACTCCCCATGGACAATCTAGGGTCATAGATGTTGGAAATTAACATTCCCCATGGACAATCTAGGGTCACAAATGCTGGAAATTAACATTCCCAAAGGACAGTCTAGGGTCATAGATGCTGGAAATTAACATTCCCCATGAACAATTTTGGGCCATAGATTCTGGAAATTAACACTCCCCATGGACAATCTAGGGTCATAGATGTTGGAAATTAACATTCCCCATGGACAATCTAGGGTCATAGATGTTGGAAATTAACATTCCCCATGGACAATCTAGGGTCATAGATTCTGGAAATTAACATTCCCCATGGACAATCTAGGGTCATAGATGCTGGAAATTAACATTCCCCATGGACAATCTAGGGTCATAGATGCTGGAAATTAACATTCCCCATGAACAATTTTGGGCCATAGATTCTGGAAATTAACACTCCCCATGGACAATCTAGGGTCATAGATGTTGGAAATTAACATTCCCCATGGACAATCTAGGGTCATAGATGTTGGAAATTAACATTCCCCATGGACAATCTAGGGTCATAGATGCTGGAAATTAACATTCCCCATGGACAATCTAGGGTCATAGATGCTGGAAATTAACACTCCCCATGGACAATCTAGGGTCATAGATGTTGGAAATTAACATTCCCCATGGACAATCTAGGGTCATAGATGTTGGAAATTAACATTCCCCATGGACAATCTAGGGTCATAGATGCTGGAAATTAACATTCCCCATGGACAATCTAGGGTCACAAATGCTGGAAATTAACATTCCCCATGAACAATTTTGGGCCATAGATTCTGGAAATTTACATTTTCCATGGACAACCTCGGGTCAGACCAACATGAAAATAAACATTCTCTCCTGACAAGCTAGAAATCAACATTCCCTGAAGCCTAGTTAGGTTCCTTGATGTGAGAAACAAACATTTCATATAAACTGTGGTAATTTTTGTGGGAAATAAACATTCTATGCTACAAATACCCACATATATATATGTTGGACATTTGATTCTTTCGCTGGCTGTACTCCAGGCGTCCATTTATCAGACACATCTCATTGTATTACACCTATAATGTTGTATACTGCTTCCATATATTGCATATGTGCCCAAGTAAAGTAATGACCTTTCATTAACAATTAATCACATTCGTTTGGATATATCTTCTACGTGTCATCAACAATGTCAACATCCTAGCACAGGATTATTTAGAGTGTACAGATACCACTGTATACAGGGTTGCCAAACATAGCACTGAAAGAGTATACAGGTCCCACTGTATACAGGGCTACCAAACATAGCACTGAAACAGTATACAGATCCCACTGTATACAGAGTTATTAAGCATGGGACTGAAAGTGTATACAGGTCCCACTTTATACAGGGTTACCAAACATAGCACTGAAAGTGTATACAGGTCCCACTGTATACAGGGTTACCAAACATAGCACTGAAAGTGTATACAGGTCCCACTGTATACAGGGTTACCAAACATAGCACTGAAACAGTATACAGTTCCCACTGTATACAGTGTTACCAAGCATGGGACTGAAAGTGTATACGGGTCCCACTGTATACAGGGTTACTAAGCATGGGACTGAAAGTGTTTACTGTTCCCACTGTATACAGGGTTACTAAGCATGGGACTGAAAGTGTATACAGGTCCCACTTTATACAGGGTTACCAAACATAGCACTGAAACAGTATACAGTTCCCACTGTATACAAGGTTACCAAGGATGGGACTGAAACATTATACAGTTCCCACTGTATACAGGGTTACCAAGCATGGGACTGAAAGTGTATACAGTTCCCACTGTATACAGGGTTACCAAACATAGCACGGAAAGAGTATACAGGTCCCACTGTATACAGGGTTACCAAATGAGGGACTGAAAGAGTATAAAGGTACCTCTGTATACAGGGTTACCAAGGACTGAAAGTGTATAAAGGTACCTCTGTATACAGGGTTACCAAGGACTGAAAGTGTATAAAGGTACCTCTGTATACAGGGTTACCAAGGACTGAAAGTGTATAAAGGTACCTCTGTATACAGGGTTACCAAGGACTGAAAGTGTTTACAGTTCCCTCTGTATACAGGGTTACCAAGGACTGAAAGTGTTTACAGGTCCCACTGTATACAGGGTTACAAAACATAGCACTGAAAGTGTATACAGTTCCCACTGTATACAGGGTTACTAAGCATGGGACTGAAAGTGTATACAGGTCCCACTTTATACAGGGTTACCAAACATAGCACTGAAAGTGTATACAGGTCCCACTGTATACAGGGTTACCAAACATAGCACTGAAAGTGTATACAGGTCCCACTGTATACAGGGTTACCAAACATAGCACTGAAACAGTATACAGTTCCCACTGTATACAGGGTTACCAAGCATGGGACTGAAAGTGTATACGGGTCCCACTGTATACAGGGTTACTAAGCATGGGACTGAAAGTGTATACAGGTCCCACTTTATACAGGGTTACCAAACATAGCACTGAAACAGTATACAGTTCCCACTGTATACAGAGTTATTAAGCATGGGACTGAAAGTGTTTACTGTTCCCACTGTATACAGGGTTACCAAGCATGGGACTGAAAGTGTATACAGTTCCCAATGTATACAGGGTTACCAAGCATGGGACTGAAAGTGTATACAGTTCCCACTGTATACAGGGTTACCAAGCTTGGGACTGAAACAGTATACAGTTCCCACTGTATACAGGGTTACCAAACATAGCACTGAAAGAGTATACAGGTCCCACTGTATACAGGGTTACCAAATGAGGGACTGAAAGAGTATAAAGATACCTCTGTATACAGGGTTACCAAGGACTGAAAGTGTATAAAGGTACCTCTGTATACAGGGTTACCAAGGACTGAAAGTGTATAAAGGTACCTCTGTATACAGGGTTACCAAGGACTGAAAGTGTATAAAGGTACCTCTGTATACAGGGTTACCAAGGACTGAAAGTGTTTACAGGTCCCACTGTATACAGGGTTACCAAACATAGCACTGAAAGTGTATACAGGTCCCACTGTATACAGGGTTACCAAGCAAGAGACTGAAAGTGTTTACAGTTCCCACTGTATACAGGGTTACCAAGCATGGGACTGAAAGTGTATACAGGTCCCACTGTATACAGGGTTACTAAGCATGGGACTGAAAGTGTATACAGGTCCCACTTTATACAGGGTTACCAAACATAGCACTGAAAGTGTATACAGGTCCCACTGTATACAGGGTTACCAAGCAAGAGACTGAAAGTGTATACAGGTCCAACTGTATACAGGGTTACCAAGCAAGAGACTGAAAGTGTTTACAGGTCCCACTGTATATAGGGTTACCAAGCAAGAGACTGAAAGTGTTTACAAGTCCCGCTGTATACAGGTAACTGTATACATGGTTACCAAGTATAGCACTAGGAAGAAAGTACAGGTCCCACTGTATACAGGATTACCAAACACAGGACTAGGTAGAATATACTGAGTTATTTCCCTTCATTTATTGGCTCTATATTTAATTTGTCAAGGTGTGGCACATTGTACAGTGTTGCATCTTGGCATCAAAATGTAAATATGTACAATGTTACATGTATATAGATATATTATAAAGCTATAATACCAAACCACACAATTATCGGACTGACAATTCTCCAGTTGTGCCATTTTTCTAAACACAATTTTGCCTCTTTTCTTCCAAACAGTTTGAAAATGAAAAGGATTTGATTATCACGAAGCAGTCACAATGACACTAACCTGTTATGTTTAAAATGTTTCAATGAGACAAATGAATGGCTTGAACAAACACAAAAATGCACAAAAAATCAGAACCCAGCTAGCTTTGATTTAAATTTAGACTTCTTAGGTCACCTGACACAAAGGGTCATGGTGGCCTATTGTGACCCCTTTTTGTCAAGCATCTGTAAGAAAACTGAACAGAATTCAGTGAAATTTTGCAGAAACCTTCCATGGCAAAAGGTAAACCAAAATTATAAATCACATGGTTCCCACCCCCAGGGGCATGAGGAGCGGGACCAAAAACACAAACAAACTCTCCTTTCCTTGTACACATAGCATTCTCATTTTCTCTTCTCTATGCTTCACAAATGTTTCCGTTTGTGAATTTCCCTGACTTTTTCTGGTTATAACTTTTTTATGTGATCATCTGATGGATAGATTTTTCACTTTATCAATTCCATTATTATCAAAAATGAATTAGACTTGTGTTAATTTTCAATGAAAACAAATCTTTATTTTGACACTGAAAAATTTCAAGTAAAAATACAAATGATATTATACCAGACATTAGTCATGCAAGGCAACATGTAGTTAAATAATAGAATCAACTGGACCAATGTCAAATATCAACATCAACAAAACAAAACTTAATTGCACCAACACATCTACATCATAACATTACAGTCATAAACA